TGGATGGTGAAGTGGGGTCTGCTGAAGGCTTAAAGTTTTCATGTTTTAGAGCTGGTTCGCCAACTCGTTCTGCTAGTCCTATTTCTTGGAAGAGTGTCCCGGTTGGGAGAAAGCTAATTAAGAGTCATAAGAGATTTTATAGCAGGTCCAGAGAAAGAAAAATTTGGTTGGATGAGCCAGGAAGGGTTTCTAGTTTAAAGTTGGGTAGGTTTCCTATCTCAAGTGGTTTTCATTCTAAAAGTTCAGAGGCGGCTGGGTTGGCTGAAGGGGTTTGTGTTGATCAAAGAGGCAAGCGCTCTAACAGGAGAATGAAAAGATCCCTCACTAGGGATGCTCTAGACCATGCTAGTGTGACTACAGTATCCACATTAACATTCTCAGGGCTGTTGGAGGAAGCGATTGCTACTTGGGAGATAAGCAGGATGCTGGGCATTTCTTTCAAGGAAGGGAAGAATGCTTTTCTACAAAAAATTATGGATTTGGAGAAAGGTTTGAGTCAGGCTAGCTGAGTCCTAAGATGGATTCTGGGATTGCTTTGGTATTTTTTATAATTGAATATGATGACAAAACTCATTATCTTGTCCTGGAATGTTAGGGGGCTGGGCAAAAAGGAAAAACAGAGAGCTGTTCAGAAGTTATCCTCAGAGAAAAAACCAATGTTTCTTTTTCTCCAAGAGACAAAACTTGAGATTTTACCAAGCTCATTTTTAAGAAGAAGTGGGTTGAATAAGCTGCAGGGGTTCGTTGTGTCTCCAGTAGTTGGATCTTCAGGAGGCTTATTTAGTTGTTGGGATGATAGTTGTTTTGAGTTAGAAGATCAGTTTATCCATAGGAGGTTTATTGCTGTTTTTGGGAAGTTCAAATTCAATCAATTTAGGTGTGGGTTCATTAATGTTTATGGCCCGTCTGTGGAAGAAGAGAAGGCCAGTTTCTTTGAAGAATTGGGACAGTTTTTAAATGGGTGCAGTTTGCCTTTATGTGTGGGAGGGGATTTCAATACTTACTTAACAGAGGAGGAGAAGGATGGCAGGTCTCAAAATAGAAATTCAATGGATATTTTCACTCTGTTCATTCAGCAAACGGGGATGATTGACTTACCTTTAATAGGGGGGAATTATACATGGAGCAGTAATCGGGATTGCCCCACTGTTATTAGGCTGGATAGGTTTCTAGTTAATGTCAGCTTCCTTTCTAAGTTTTCTGATATTACCCAATCGTTGTTGACAAAGTCCATTTCTGATCATAATGCTATTATTTTGGAGAGTGGGGAAGACAATTGGGGCAAGAGGCCGTTTAGGCTGTTTAGCTATTTGATGACTGAGGACGACTTCCAAGAGAAAGTTGCAGAGTCTATTAATGAGTTCAAGAGGGTCAGAAAAAAAGCAGGAATTCTGAGCATTCTTAGAAATACTAAGTTTGCTATAAAGACTTGGTCTGGAAATAGGAATCAGTTTCCTAGTAAACAGATTTCTGCTATTGAAGACAAGATCCATCACCTAGAGAACTCTTTTCAGAAGAATCGAGTTTCAGGAGTTATTGATAGTTCATCAGAGCTGAAGTTACTGAGGGATGAGCTTTGGAGACTTTACAGAATTGAGGAGCAAATTTGGTTTCAAAATTCAAGAGAGAAGTGGGTTAAAGATGGTGATCGGAATTCTAAATTTTTTCACACTTGTGCTTCCATTAGGAGGCGGAGGAACGCTCTAAATGTTATTTGTGTTGATGGGGTTATTATCAGGGACCCGGTCCGGTTAAAGTCTGCTGTCAAAGTGCATTTTTTCAAAGCTTTCAATAGCCGCACTACCTTGGAAGTGGAGGATATTAAGTTAAATTTCTCAAGAATTTCAATGGAGCATAGTCTTATGCTAGAAAAGGAGTTTACGGAAGGCGAAATTTTGGAAACCTTGAATTCGTGTGATAGTAACAAAGCTCCGGGTCCGGATGGGCTGAGTATGGGTTTTTTCAAAAAATTTTGGTCTTCATTGAAAGGTGATATTATGAATTTTTTCAATAACTTTTACTTGGGAAAGGATTGGGAGCATGGCATTAATCATTCGTTCATAACTCTAATTCCAAAGGACTCTAATATTGGGGGTTTAGATGATTTCAGACCAATTAGCCTAGTAGGTGGAATGTACAAGATTCTTTCCAAGTGCCTTTCGAGAAGGTTGAGGTGTTGCATGGATGATGTTGTTAGTGATTCACAATTTGCCTTCACTCAGGGTAGACAAATCTTGGATTGTTCTTTCATCGCTAATGAAGGTATTGATTTGTGGAGGAAGAAAGGATTGAAGGGTTGTGTGTTGAAGGTGGATTTCAAGAAGGCCTACGATATGGTAGATTGGGATATTTTATTTAAAGTTATGGTTAGAATGGGATTCGGATTAAAATGGTGTGGCTGGATTCGGAAATGTGTGTCAACTGCCTCGGTTTCAGTGCTAGTTAATGGGGTTCCTAAGGATGAATTTCCTATGGCTAGAGGTCTTAGACAAGGGTGCTCCTTGTCACCATTGCTGTTTAATTTCATTGGCGAGTTACTTAATCTACTGATTCGGAAAGCAGTATCTTCGGGCTTGTTCAGTGGTTTGATTGTTGGCAAGGATGATACAGCTCTTAATTTGTCACATTTGCAATTCGCAGATGATCTCATTATCTTCTGTATGGCTTCGAAGACACAGATTCTAAATGTCAAGAGGGTCTTACGGGTCTTTGAAGTCATTTCAGGACTGCAATTAAACCTCACTAAGTGTAGATTATTTGGGATTAATATCAGTGAGGAAGAGGTGTTGCAGTGGGCTAATACTATTGGTTGTGTAGTGGGACATTTTCCTTCGGAATATTTGGGATTACCGCTTGGTGCTAAGAGAAATTCTATAGCGTTGTGGGATCCGATAGTGCAGAAATTTAACAAGAAGCTAGCCAGCTGGAAGGCGAGGACTCTGTCTGTGGCATGAAGATTAGTGTTATTGAAGGCTGTTTTATGCTCATTACCCACCTATTTCATGTCCCTATTTAAAATACCCTCTTCCGTGATTGTTAAGCTAAACTCCATTATGGCCAGTTTTCTATGGGGAGGAGGGGCAGAGGTTAAAAAGATCCATTGGATAAACTGGTCGACAGTATGCTCTGCAAAAAGTGCGGGTGGTCTAGGAGTTCTAGATCTTAATTACATGAATAGAGCACTCCTAGGAAAGTGGTCTTGGAGGTTTGCGAATGATAGAGGGTCAGTGTGGAAAAAGGTTATTTGCAGTAAGTATAATCTGGACCCTAGTTTGTTGATTTTCAAGGAAAAACTACCTGCTTTTTCTTCTTGGATTTGGAAATCGATAGTCAATAATCATTTCAAAGATGACCAGTTCGGAGCTAAATTTCGAAGTCTGTTAGATGTTCGAGTAGGCAGTGGGGACAGAATCAGTTTTTGGTCTGATAATTGGGCGACTGTTTCCCCTCTTAAAGAGGTCTTCCCCAGATTATTTGTTCTGTCTGTAAATAAAAATGGGAAGTTAAAAGAGTTTGGTGAGTTCAAGTCCTCAGTTTGGTGTTGGCATGTTCAATTGAGAAGGAGTTTGAGTGACTGGGAACTGGTTCAATTCTGCGATCTGATGACCTTAATTCACAATATACCTCTGTCCAAGGATCTGTCTGATGGGTGGGTTTGGAGAGGAAACGGGGATGGGATCTATTCTGTTAAGACCAGTGTCAAAGCTTGCAGTCCTGTTTTGTCAGTTGATTCTTTTTGGATGAAATTCATTTGGAGGGGTTTGGTGCCTCCCAGAGTGGAGGTCTTTTTGTGGCAGGTTGTGCATCATAGACTGCCAGTAAAACAGGAACTACAAAGGAGAGGAGTTTCAGCTGTTATAGATGTGTCATGTCCCCTTTGTAAAAAAGAGGTTGAATCCTCTTTGCATTTATTTTTTACTTGCCTTGTGGCATGGGCATTGTGGATGAAATTTTTTAAATTGTGGGGTGTTAGTTCGGTTTTGCAGGCCAATGCTCAAAGTTTTCTGATAGCTTGGGAGCATTTGGTCCCTAATTCTAGAATTTGGTCATATATTCCGGGTGTGGTGCTATGGACTATATGGAAATATAGGAATGACATTGTGTTTGATGGGGGTAGGCTCGATCAGATCGATCTGTTTTTTATGGCAAGATGTAGGCTGGCGACCTGGTTCATAACGAATACCAAGGATGTCTCTATTCTAAAAGACTCTCTCATCTCTGATCCTACTATTGGGGATTATTGCTCTAAGTCAAGGTGTTCGATCATTGAAATTGTGTCTTGGTCTCCTCCTCCAAAGGGTTTTATTAAATTTAATGTGGATGCAACAGTGAATGGTGATTGGAGGAAGAGTGGTGTTGGGGGAATTCTTAGAGATGAGGATGGCTCGGTGATGGGCTCTTTTCAAGAGCCTTCTGGTCCAGGTCCTCCGGCGCTGATTGAGTTGTTGGCAGTTAAGAGGGGCCTAATTTTTTTTGAGCCGTTTCATCAGCAGATGAAGGAACGTTTATTGATTGAATCTGACAGTAAACTTGCAGTAGAGTGGGTCAAGAATTTTGATCTCTGTCCCGGTGTATACTCTAATTTAGTAAAAGATATTGTTACTAAGTTAAGGGAGTTGAATGGTATTATTAGATGGGTTGCTAGGTCAGCCAATATTGAGGCTGATAGTTTAGCCAAAGATGGTATTGGCTAGTTTTACATTTGTGATTTGCTTTTGTAGTCTTTGGGTTGGATTATGTAAAGGGAGTGTTTATGTGTTGTTAAACATTATGTATATTGTGGTTTTTAATGAATCCTAAGGCACTCTTTTCCTCCTTCCGCTGATTGAAAAACACTTAGTGTTCCATTAATCATGAAGGGGGTTTTTAACGAGGCCTACATTCCTATAAAAAAAAACATGGTTTGGCTTCTCAAACATGGAAAGGTAATCCTGATCAAGTCTAGAATCATAAACATAACTTTTATCCTAGTGTCTTCAAATATGAAGGAAAAAATATACCAATTGTTGATTCCAGGTGCTCTTTCAAACAAAGCTTCTCCGAACCTGTTCCGCAGAACCATGAAGACATACATCTTGCTGCTTGATCAATGTTGTCAAATTCCCATCTTTGCATGAATTTTGCTTCTATGGCCAGAGAGGTATCAGTCTGCAAGTAAGAACAAACATGCTGAATAGCAAATACAAATACATCAATGGTGAATCACAAAAAAAGAGAGAGAGAGAGAGAGAGAGAGAGCAAATACCTGAAGCTCGTTGTAGTAGTTAATACCTCGAACATTGGACCATGCGACTTCAAATACAATGAAGCCATACAATGTCCTATGCAGGTCACTGCTAAGAAGAAAAGAGGTATCCAGTTTCTTCGTTCTAGACAATACTTTAGCATGAAAGAAGACAACCATGTCTCAAAATTATTGGAAACTTCAGCATTTGATCTGGAAGAAGCTTCCTTTCCCTCCTTTGTCTCCCTACGACCTTTGTTGATAGCAAAAGGATAACCTGGACTGAACATAATTATAAAAGACTTAAATTCAATTATAATCTTCTTGTCTTGAAAAAACGATTCCCCCCCCCCTCAAAGACATAAAGGTGTTTCCAGTAACCTTGGTAACCATCAATTGCCACAAGAGAGCTGGCCGTGAACCAATGTCCTCCATAAGCCATGGTTGGTTGTCCACCAAAATGTAGAATTTGTTGCTTTCAAGGGCTAGGAAAACGCTAAGATCAGAAAAATAAGACTGCAAATCTCTGCAATCATACATTCCACAACAGTTCAAATGACAAAGTTCATATAGAAGTCATTAAGCTCAATAAGAATATAAGATTACATATGTTTGATTAATATATATAAACCCATTGGATTGAAACATATATTTTTAGTCACCCTTCCCTATAATTTGCAAATTACAAAAAAAAAAAATCATCTCAAAGCTGATAATAACGAAAAAGAAAACCTCAAATAAATTGAAAAATACTCTTGGACCATGTGGAAGATTTTCATTTAAAATCTTTCACGAAAACCTAATAAATCCGTTCCGTTATTAATTCTACTAGTTTTCCTATAATCAGAATTTGGAGGGGAAAATGACAATGTATGAAGAATCTTATTCATAAACAAAATTATAAACGAGTAAGTGAAGCCAGAGTTTTAAACTTAGTGAAATTCAACATAGATCATGCTTAAAATACCCGATTTGGAGACTGGTTATAGGGAAAACGTTGCGTCCGTCATCGTGTTTTCCCATCAAAATTGTGATCTATCCTCTGTTCAGCAAATCACTCACATGGGAAAAAAGAAAACAGTTTCTCTCATAAATACCCAAAATGAACATTGTTGTTTATAAATATGAAAAGAGAAGAAAGGGAAAGGAATTCCATGACAATGCAAGCCAAGAGACGGAGAGAAAACGAAGAGATGTCAACTTTGTAACAAAACAGAAAAATAAAATATTTTTTTCATGTATTACAATTATATATTATATTATCTATTTGTAGGGTGTATGGGTTAAGGCCTTCGGGCTACTCATATAACCCGTGGTTCGTGCGGGTTTCGGGTTTTAAAAAATAAAATTTATTTAAATTGTGGGTTTATTAGTTTGGACTGATAAATTTGTGGTTTAATGAGTATACTTGCGGGCTCCGCGGGTAGCTCACTTAATTTAATTATTTTTTTAAATTTATTTTATATTTTACAGAAGACAATTTACGTTTAGTCCAATTCACGTTTTAAGTGCATTTTAACTATAGTACAATTCACGTTTTATGTGCACTGAAATCTGAAACCCAATTCACATTTTAATTTGATGATATCCAATTTTAAAGTTTGAACGTATTAATTATACATATGTTAACGTAATATGATAACATAAACAAAAAGGTTTCTATCTTTTTATATACGTATTTACCATTTATAATTAATGCCATCAATATATATATAAATAAACCATAAAATGTTTATTATGCTCCAATAATTAATCATAAGAAAAACTATATATATATACGTTAAAAAATAGAAAAAAAACAAATCAAAATATTAAATCATGTATAAATATAATAATTAAATTAAAAAGGTAAAATAACCTAATATGTAAATATGCAAATAATATATAAAACTTGAGACAGTGATAAAAAAATATACATAAAATTAGAGTATAAAATTAAAATAATAAACTATATTTGAGGATTATATTGCATTAATTCAAAAGTTGGTGGAGCCCTTACACGATTAGTACATTAAAATTTGTCATGATTATCCTAAATCCCTAAAATATATTATTTTGTGTACCTTATATTATATATACGCCGTTATAAAATTTTAAGAATCATAGTCTCATTTTTTTTGTTTCCCTTCTCCGTCGTTTCTTTCTACCTCCCCAACTTCTCTCTTTTTTTCACATAAACAATAAACAATAAACGAGTAAGTCGTTAGCCCGTGGGTTAAATGGTACGGACCGCGAGCCTTAGAATTTAAGACTATTTATGATTACGAATTTTTTAAACTGTTCTGTTTAAACTTACACCGTCAAAACTCGCAGGCTAAACGGGCGATAGTCCGTATACCCATCTCTACAGCCAACAAACCTGGGAAATAAGGGAGATATGCGAGGGGATTAATCTTATGATGTGCTACGGCGGTTTCTATCATGTTTATTTCCGCCTTTTGTCTTCTTTTTTTCCATGCATGCATATTAAATAGATAATAGTGTCTAACTATAAATTTTATCTTTTGAATTTACAAAAAAAAAAAGTTTATTAAATATGAAAATCTAGATATTAATCTTTTTTTTATACCTAATATATGTGATGCTCGAACTTGAAACCTCAAAGAATAAGAATAAATCTCTTAATTGTTAAAGTAGTGGTACCTCCTGATTTGAAGGTTAAATTTATTTTAATTTATTAAAATTAAGATCAAATTGAAAGAATATATAAATAACATAGACTAATTATGTAATTATATCAAAATATTTTAACTGTCACGTCACCTCCTCCATTAAAATATGTAATTACAGGTGGCTTAATTGAAACATTTAAATAGTTGGATGGTCTGATTGATGAAATCAAAATATTGATGGTCGAAATTATTTTTAACTATAGTTAAATTGTCACATATCTAGTTTACTCTTTTTTATATTGATTTAATTTAATTTATTAGTGTTATGAGATTTTTTTTTCATAATCCAAACTGTGGCTCACTGATTCAGATGCAGAACAGATAAAGAAAACAAATAGAGGAGGAAGGAGAGAAAATTTATGTATTTCATTCAAATCGAGAAAGGTAATCTCTATATACTGTGCTGATTATATTTCTTGCACCATCAAGTAAATTTATCTATCAGACAATTGTTGTCCTTGATCAAGGATAGATCGATACGGGTGGCTGGATCAGTTGCCTTTTTAAAAAAATTATATTTTTTTTATTTTTAATTGATAATAAATTTTATCCTTAAAATTTTATAAATTCACTCTCTATCAAAAAATTATAAATTCATTCTCTTAAATAATATTTTACGCAGTGGCGAATGTATGTTGAATTCAAGGTGTGAGCTTCCTCACCTTAGAATCCGAATATCTTTATATTAGTTCTTTATTTTACTAAATGTGTTCATCTGTATTCACCATAGAATCTGAATTTATTTATATTAGTTGTTTATTTTACTAAAGACATCTATCCTAAAATTTTATTTGTGTCCACCCTATACAATTTTTTTTATATTAATACCCATCCTAAACAATATTTTTCAATCCAATGCTGATTCTACTTTGGTCCCAATCCTTACTAATATCTTGCTAACGAATTCCCATAGGCGTTATTGCTACTCATCTCTATCATTCTTGGTTGAATGAGTCTGGAATATGGATTATGCCTTCATGGCTCTTCACTAACATCAGCCAGCCCACTAGCAGATGTTTGCCCAACGGTTCCCTCAATTGCTCCAGCCCTTTCCTTGAGCTTGGCATCATCTTCAATCAGCCTACCATTCCTCATTTAATCTTTTTTTGGGATCCATAAATACTGTCACTGTGCAAAAGGTTAGTTTTAGTCTATCTATCTAGATATATGTAAAAAATATTTTAAATACAATTACAATATTAAAAATTTAATACCTCTCTATTGTGTCTATTAACAAACACCTTGGTGAGTATTTAAAAAGTATTAAAAACTTTTAAAAATTTGAAATAAATTAGATATAAAATTATTGTTTAAGGACCTATTTGATTTTTAACAGAAGTTTAGGGGTAAAATTAAATATTAACATTTCTGTTAACGTTATCATATAATCAATTTAACGGAGAAGATGGTTGAGTGATCATTTTGTTACAAATCGATAACCCTAATGATCAATATATTATTTTTAAAACTTTAATAAAAAATAAAAATTTACTCAAATATTACATACCATTTATATAGTTTACCTAATAAAATATTTATAACGTGAAAATGGAATTAATTCAATCCAATGAAAACATGAAAATATTCAGAATGGAAAACAAAAGTAGCATGATGAGCATTGGGAGAATAAAAATTGGAACACTTTGGGTTCAAATTAACAAATAATTTTGTATACGATTTGAAAGTTTTCAAAGGGTCAATAAGGAGAGGTTTAAAATTTTCGGGGATTTGTAGTGTGGTTGAGGTTATTGGGGTCAGGCAACGTAATAGTAATGGCAGAAGGTCGGCCAAAGAACAATGGAGGTCCACTGCAAGCAAAAACAAGTCGGTGCCCCATGTTTGTATATTATATAATTATATTTAGGTAATAATATATTTTTATTATCTGCATTTTATAATTTATGTTGATTTATATATATCATTCCTAATAATTTTAATTTTAAAGCTTAAATTTAAGACTACAATATATTTTATTATTACATTCAACATCAGTTGATAAATAAAACTATGTATATTATAATGGAAGAAGATTAACTTAACTATTGTGAAAATTAATAAGTTTTATTTTGATTTATAATTATTAGATAAATGTAAATTGAAGATTGAAATTATTCACTTTTTAAAAAAAAGAAGAAGATATTTTTAACTTTTGATCCCAAACATTAATTTACATCTATCTATCTATCTATCTATCTATCTATCTATCTATCTATCTATCTATCTATCTATCTATCTATCTATCTATCTATCTATCTATCTATCTATCTATCTATCTATCTATCTATCTATCTATCTATCTATCTATCTATCTATCTATCTATCTATCTATCTATCTATCTATCTATCTATCTATCTATCTATCTATCTATCTATCTATCTATCTATCTATCTATCTATCTATCTATCTATCTATCTATCTATCTATCTATCTATCTATCTATCTATCTATCTATCTATCTATCTATCTATCTATCTATCTATCTATCTATCTATCTATCTATCTATCTA